CTTTTTCTTACGAAGGTAGTTTTTAGTTTTCTTAAAACATATTCGTAATAAACTCCCATGATTGCCCTGAGTCCTTTGATAAAATCTATTAGGATTACCCCTTTGGAATCTCAAAAACAGTTGCCATAATTTTCTGAACTGACCTCTCTGCCTTGAATTGAACTGACCCAGCAGATCTCCTCATAAACCAGTTTTGATTGGACCTTTTATTTTGGAAGACATCCTAATGAGACTAAAACAAGTGTATTGTTGACAGAACTTGTCTGTAACCATCTACTAATCACAGAAATATGCTTAAACACATTTTGTTTGGAATAAACCTGTGCAAGAATAACTAGACCCTAGTAACAATATCTTTTTTTGCTCACCTGCTTATTTCATTTCTTTCTGTTCTTATACAAGATTTGCAGGAACAAACAAAGTTTAACAAAGCTATTTGAAAATAATTAATTTTGTCCATTTTATCTCCCCTAAATTAAGAGTCCCTTCAATAACAAGCAGAGAATATTCATACATAGGATGTTGTTGTTAAATGCCATCATGTCAGTTCTAGCTCATAGTGAACCTGTGTAGGGTTTCTGAGGAGCAGCTGGTGGGTTTGAACTGCAGATCTTGTGGTTAGCAGTCCAGTGCCTATCCTACAGCACCACACCAGGACCAATTTTAATCATTAGAATAATCTCTTTCACTGCTTTTTAAAAAATGTTTTATTGTCATTTGGGTAGTTTACAGAGCAAATCAGTTTTCCATCCAACAATTTATACACATTTTGTCATTGATTGATGCCCCCCAAATGTAACATCATTTATTCTACTTCTTTGCCATGTTTCCTGTTTATATTCCTCCTTCTCTCCTAACCTTTTGAACTTTGACCTTGGATAAATATTGTCCTTTTGATCTCAATTGGTTGATTATTCTAATGTATGTCTACCTCCCTAGAGTTATTGTCCCCTTTATAGATCTGCCTATTGTTTGGCTGAAAATTGAGCCATGGTGTTGTGTTCATTTCCAGATCTAAAGGGTGACTAACGGTCATAGTTCCACCAGCCTCTATTTGACCAATAAGTCTAATCTTTTTATGATTCTGAGTTTTGTTCCATGTTTTTTTCTCACTTTATCTAGAACCTTCTTATGTGATCCTTTTCAGAGCAGTTGGTAGTGGTGAATTGTGGAGATTGATGTCTGTGTGGTCCATTCATTGATTGGACTGATTGTTTCCATTAAGTCTTCAGTTTTCTTCACTCTTCTTTGCTCCAGACAGGGTGAGACCAAGAGTTCCACCTTAGAATGCCATTCATGAGCTTTTAAGACCCAAGTCTCTATCTATGTAGAAAGTAGAACATTGTCTTTGTGGGCTATGTAATGCCTATTGACCTTGATGTCCCTCAAGATCGTGGCCCTGAGCACCCAGGCCCTGTGACTCATTCCCTCATGGTGATTATATTTAAGAAGCTTTTATAACTTTGCCCCCTGTATGTTCCATTACATTCATGGATAAACTTGCAGCATAGGTAAACACACATGTAGAAATATCCTGTGGAACCCATATACATTCATGGGTATAGTCCCATTCTTCTGTTCACAGCTATTCAGCCTGTGTGTCTATCCACTCGTTGATCACCATTTATTACAGGATTGTATATAATAGTGTTTACTTCTATTGTCTTTAACTCTTGCTCTCCTCCCATTGTTTTTCCCTAATTCCATCATTTTCCACTGACCTTCCTTCTATTGTATATTGCCTGTTCTCTTCTACTCTTAAGGTTTTATGATTCGAACAGACCTGGTAGATAATGAATCAGAGATTGTCAAAGCAGGGAGGAGGAAATTGAGATCCAATGAGACACTTTCTTGACCATTTCCTAAGATGAAGAGCTTACTAGATAATAAAGTACTTATTCTAAAAGTGGACTGAATATGTTTAGTGAGTAAAATGTGCTTTAACCTCCACAATTGCCCTTTTAGTATAATTGCCTCTTGCCCCAATCTGGCTGCTGAGGCACACAGAGAGGAATAAAAAAATGTAAATGTACAACTCAGCTTCCTCAACTCTAAACTGCAGCAATAGCAAGTGGGAAATAGGTATGAGAAAGAAGGAAGCAGTTAGGGTGCAGAGGCTCCAAAAACCTGACGTGTATGTGTTCACTTAGCTAAATCTAGTCCTGTTCACAACTGATATTCTATCCAGAAAAGCACCTAAGAGGTCTCTGGAATGTGAGATGTGTCTCTGGCTGGGACAGTCATTGGACAAGATGATAAAATCCTAAAATTACAGAGCTGGAATAAGTCAATGAAATAATCTTGTGCTACTCCTCATTTTGGAGTCCTGATGTGGCACTGTAGGATAAGCAATGGACTGCTAACTGCAAAGTCCCCATGGTTGGTCATTCAAACTTACCAGCCACTCCTTGGAAACCTCAAACAGAGTCACTGTGAATTAGAACTGACTCAGCAGCACTTAAAAATCCCTCATTTTACATATTGGGAATCTAGACCCGAAAACAGATAAGCTACTTGTCCAATAATACAGTCCAGATCGCTGACGACCAGTTGTTGTTCTTTATACAACACAACAAATAATTGACATGTATTGTGCTTAACAATTCTGTGAACTTTATAAGTCAGTTTTCATTATCATTGCCCCTCTTTTATTAACAAAAATAATGAGATTTTGAAAGATTATTTACCCAAATTCAAAGTCAATAAGTAGTAGAGAATAGACTCATAAGGCCTTTGGATTCCAAACCCTTCTATCCAATGCAAATCCCTCCTATATGAATTTAGATAAATTCTCCAAACTACCTAATCAGGAACAGGATTGTTCTGTACTGGACAGGCCTTGTCAGATGCTATATTTAGTGGGGATAAGGATAGGAGAAGCTCTCTGTTGTTGTTAGGTGCCATCGAGTCGGTACCGACTCATAGCGACCCTACGCACAACAGAATGAAACACTGATCTATACTGGGCCAGCTTCACAATTGTTGCCACGCTTGAGCCCATCAATGCTGCCACTTTGCCAATCCATTTATCTGGGGGTCTTCCTCTTTTTCTCTTACCCTCCACCTTACCAAACATGATATCCTTCTCCAGTGACTTGTCCCTCCTGACAATATGTCCAAAGTATGAGAGACGAAGTTTGGGCCTCCAAGGAGCTCTCTGGCTGCACTTCTTCCAACATAGATCTGTTTGTTCCTTTGGCAGCGCATGGCACTTCAATATTCTCCTCCAACACCATAACTCAAAAGCAACAATTCTTCTAAGGTCGTTCTTATTCACTGTCCAGCTTTCACATGCATATGAGGTTATTGAAAATACCATGGCTTGGGTCAGGCACACCTTTGTCCTTAAGCTGACATCTTTGCTCTTCAGCACTTTAAAAAGGTTTTGTGCAGCAGAGTTGCCTAATGCAATACTTCGTTTGATTTCTTGACTGCTGCTTCCTTGAGTGTTGAAAGTTGATCCAAGAAAAATGAAGTCCTTGACAACTTCAATCTTTTCTCCATTGATAAGCCTGTTGTTTATTGGTCCAGTGGTGAGGATTTTTGTGTTCTTTACATTGAGATGCAATCCATACTGAAGGCTGTGGTCTTTGATCTTCATCAGTAAATATTTGAAGCCTTCTTCACTTTCAGCAAGCAAAGTTGTATTATCTGCATATTGCAGATTGTTAATGAGTCTTCCTCCAATCCTGATGCTACATTTTTCTTCATAGAACCCAGCTTCTTGGATTATTTGCTCAGCATACAAGTTGTATAAGTATGGGGAAAGAATACAACCCTGTTGCACACCCTACTTAATTTTAAACCATTCAGTGTTCCCATGTTCTGTTCAAACAACTGCCTCTTGTTCCATACACAGATTCCTCATGAGCACAATTAAGTGTTCCAGAATACTCGTGCTTTGCAATGTTATACATAACTTATCACAAGCCACACAATCAAAAGCCTTTGCGTAATCAATAAAGCACAGGTAAACATCTTTCTGATATTCTCTGCTTTTAGCCAAGATCCATTGGACATTAGCAGTGATATCCCTCACATTGTCTTCAGGTCCCTAAGTTTTCCTTTTATTGGCACTGTCTTGGTGACACATTTCTTTCTTTGGTAACTGTGTTCTAATGCTTTCTTCACCCATTCTCCTCCCAATCACTTGTCAAGAATATCTGATAGTTAGTACAACTAAATTAAAACTCTTGAATGTTATAGGTTGTGTATATTAAAAAGGATATGTTTTGTTGAAGGAAAAATTGCTATATTTTTGAAGGAAAAATTGTGTATATTAAAAAAATATGTTTTGTTGAAGGAGTTTGTAGCAGTTAATGTGGTTGTAGCCATCCATTTTCATATCTTAATGTTAACGGGTTTATGTTGTTGGTTGGGATTTTTTTTGTTTGTTTCAAATGCAATATTACTTAAAATTCCCTTTGCATCAAGGTGTATGCAAAACGTTGATGCCGTGCATCACAAAACAAAAGTTTGTATTTAATAAGGAGGTGCTTTACACTGTACTGTCTGATGTTTTGTTTTTAAAGTTACATTTAGATCTAAAAAAGTAAAAAAAAAAAAAAAAAGAATATCGGATAGATTTCCCCTGAGGTATAATGACCTATTAGTTTAAGGGGTAAGGATTTCTGTCTGTTTTTCTCATTTATATACCCCAAGGACACAAAGTCATGTCTGGCACCTAATAGTTGCTCAATAACAACTTCTAAGTATAAAGCAAACATAGTGTGGTTAGCTAGAATCTCCTGCTATGGGAAGGCAAATTTAAATGTGCCAGAGAAGCAGAGGACTAGATGGAAGGATTAAAGGCAATGGGATGAGAGATGACAAACAGACAAAGAGTTACAGTGGGAGAGAAGATGGCACATAATGGTAAGAATCAAGGACTGCCCAGAAGTGAAGGATCAGGCATTGAAAGATCCAAGGGCTTAAAGGTGGGGTTGAGGGGAAGATCCAAGGCCTGATGCCACCTTCTTCCCATGGACCTTTGTTTACAGACACCCTGGAAGGAGTGAACATCACCAGCCCAGTGCACCTGATCCATGGCACTGTGGGGAAGGAGGCCCTGCTGTCCGTGCAGTACAGTAGCACCAGCAGTGACAGGCCTGTTGTGAAGTGGCAGCTGAAACGGGACAAGCCAGTGACCGTGGTGCAGTCCATTGGCACAGAGGTCATTGGTACTCTGAGACTTGACTATCGAGACCGCATCCGGCTATTCGAAAATGGCTCCTTGCTTCTAAGTGACCTGCAGCTGTCTGATGAAGGCACGTATGAAGTTGAGATCTCCATCACCGATGATACCTTCACTGGGGAGAAGACCATCAACCTCACTGTAGATGGTAAAGGGCTATGGTGTGGGAAAAGTCAGGGACTCAAGCAAGGACTGGGCAATGTCTGTGGGTCACACACTAAACAAACAAACTTATTGCCATCAAGTCAATTCTGACTCACAGAACACTATAGACAAGTAGAACGGCCCCATATTATTTTACTGTCTCCTGGACTGTAAATATTTTTTTAGCTTTTTATTGTGAATTGAGTGAAGGTTTATAGACAAGATCATCAACTTTACATTCAACAAATTATACACTTTGTTTCATTCCAATGATTACAATTCCCTCCCTGCAATAATCCTGTGGCTCTCCATTTACATCTTCTATTTCACAAATGAACAGATAAAAAATACTTGATGTACCATATAAAAAAAAATGTATTTATTTAAATGTCCAAAGGGCACATTCTGCAAGCCAGCCTCTTGCCTGCAGGCACACAGCCTTATTCAATCCATAAGCCTAGAGCCCGCAGCTGCTCTGTCTCTCCAGGCTACCACTTCTGCCACTGTCTCTGCTGTCACTATTTTTCTAGGTAGGGATCTCACATTCCACTCATGCTCATCCTTCTTGATGGTCCAGAGATCATCTGTTCCCAAAATGAAAGATTAACCACTCCCCCTTTTTGTTGTTGTTAAGTACCATCGAGTTGGTTCTGATTCATAGTGACCCTGCATAGGGTTTCCGAGGAGCGAATGGTGAACTTGAACCATTGACCTTGTGGTTCAAACCAACCTTGCCGTCCAGCACATTAACCCACAGTGCCACACCAAGACTCCTTTTTAGTAAGGCTGCACATCTTTCTCCTGCAAAGCAGATGGTGGATTTGAACTGTTGGTCTCTTGGTTAACAGCCAAATATGTAACTACTGTGCCATGAGATCTCCTATTGGGCTAGCATGCAGGGAAAATGAACCCGAAAGCCAGTTGGAAACTGGGAGTGAGCCAAGTGGAAGTTAGCAGCTGGCAGGAGGGCACAGTTATCATATGTAGAGTGTTTACTAGGTCCCCAAAACCATTCAAAGTGCAGTGCTTTTCATTTTATGTTTATTATAATAATCTGTTGTTGCTGTTGGTTGCCAGAGATACCCATGTAATAGAGTAGAACTGCTCCATAGGATTTTCTTTGCTGTAATCTTTAAGAAACCAATTGCCAGGTCTCTCTCCAATGGAGCCACTGGGTGGGTTTGAGCTGCCAAGTGTTGTTTTTTTTTGTTGTTGTTGTTGTTTAGTTAGCTGCCAAACATACCATTAAGGCTCCTTAATAATAATCTAGATAGAGATAATATCATTAGCCCCTATTTTGAATGTGAGGTAACTGACGCATAGAGACACAGAGAGATTGAGTAACTTGCCCAAGGTCAGACAGCTAGTAATGATAAAGCCAAGATTTATATCCATTTGGGCTTAACCCAATTGAAAATTTTGCAACTGGCTGGGCCAGTTGGAAACATTAGAGCCCAGTAGTCTTAGAGAGGTATTTAAGAAGAAGGGGATATAAGGTCCATGAGGGCAGGGACCTTGGCTATCTTGTTCAGCATTGTGCACAGAGTGCTCAATGAATAGCTAGGGAATAAGTAAATAGTGGTGAAGGACTGAGTTGATGGCTGCACAAGGATCTTGTCAACCCACAGCATTTGTGTGGTATGTTGGAAAGTAGGAAGTTGAGAAGAGAAGGGAGAAAGTTCCTAACCTATGACTCACAGGCTCCTCACCCCCGGGTCCCAGTGCCCATTTCAAGGCCACAGGTGGTAGTGACTTCGACCACTGTGCTGGAGCTCAGTGAGACCTTCACCCTGAACTGCTCACACAAGAATGGCACCAAACCCAGCTACACTTGGTTGAAGGATGGCAAGCCTCTCCTCAATGACTCGCGCATGCTCCTGTCCCCCAACCAAAAAGTGCTCACCATCACCCGAGTGCTCATGGAGGATGATGACCTATACAGCTGTGTGGTGGAGAATCCCATCAGCCAGGGCCGCAGCCTGCCCGTCAAGATCACAGTGTACAGTAAGTCTTCCTGCCTGCCCTCCCTTGGGAATCAAAACCCTAGAAGCAGGTTCCCATGAGGGACCAAGGCCAGATTAGACAGAGCTCTACTGGAGGGAGTGAGAGACAGTGGTGGGCAAACTATCCATGGAAGGCAGAAACAAGGAGGAAGTGTCTCTGTGCAAGCTGTGACATCAGTTAGCCATGCTGTGTAGAACTCTTTTCTCTTTTTTGACTCTAAAGCTCCCTTACCATGCCTCTTATTCACTCTTCTCTCTTCTTTTTTCTTCTCTCCTAGGGAGAAGCTCCCTCTATATCATTTTGTCTACAGGAGGCATCTTTCTCCTTGTGACCTTGGTGACAGTCTGTGCCTGCTGGAAACCCTCTAAGAAGTCTGGGTAACTTTCCAAGTCCAACACCCTGAGAACCCTAAGTCTTTGATCCATTCTAACACAAAGCTTAAATCTTTTCTTAGTCTCTTTAAACACCTTTCCTTTCAGGTCTTTGCATGATTTCTCAGGAGACACATCTCACTATTGTGTATGGAACCATGCCCTGCATTCATGACACTAATAGCCAGATCCTGATTAATAATGGTTTCACTTATTGAGCACTTTCTTTGGGCACTGTGGTTGTGATTACAATGCTATTGTTTGGTCCTCATAGTCTTGCAGGAAACATACAGTTATCTGCAGTTTATAGATAATGACCCTGAGACTCGGATTGGTTAAATGACTTCTAAGTCACAATGCTAGTGACAAATTCAAGATGCAAACCTCATTCCAAAGCTAGTCCTACCCAACTCAGTCCATCTTTCTGTCACACAAGACCTCTTTTATAACCATCAGATCCTTTCTTGTGCCTCTTCCTGCTCCACCCCCAGACCTTCAGTTCACAATAAATTGGGGCTGTTCTGATTTTCAGGAAGAAGTGGAAGATGGAGAAGCAAACCTCCCTGGAATACATGAATCAGAATGATGATCGTCTAAAACCAGAAGGTGAGCTCCCTCCTGCCCACTCACCCATGGCATCTGCACTCAAAGTGATGGGCTGCTAGGAAACATCAGAACTGGGAAATAAGGAAGCCAGTCCCACAGGGCCCTGTGCTTCATCAACTGCCTGATGACTGCAGAGCAGGGAGAGGTGTGGTCCAGGTAGGAGCCTGGGTATTTGGGATCCTCAGGTACAGACCGTGGTGGAATCAACACTTTGGCCAATTGGGGAAGTAAGGAGTGTAGGTGCTGAGTGGTGGAGAGGATTCTGGACCAGGCCAACCCACCCCCTCTCATTCTCTTCCTCTATGCAGCAGAAACCCTAGCACGAAGTGGAGAGCAAGAGCGGAAGAACCCCATGGCTCTCTATCTCCTGAAGGACAAGGTGAGTAACCCTGGATTAGGAGCTCCCCAGTGAACCCTCACAGCGTGCCTGACATTATTAGTTCAACCATATAGATATCTCTTTGTGATACTCAAAATAATGCTGTGACTTTTTTTTTTTGCATTGGGCTGCTAACAAAGGTTGGCAGTTGGAACTCACCTGGGGGTTCCACAGAAGAAAGGCCTACCCAACTGATTCTGTAAAGAAAACCCTATGATTCTGTAAAGAAAACCATTCTGTAACACATGGGGTCTCTGTGAATCAGGACAAAATGATTTTGAAAGACAGCTTATAACTACCATTTTGTTGTTGTTCCGTGGAGTCGGTTCCGACTCAATACGACCCTGAATAGGGTTTCCAAGGCTGTAAATCTTTACGGGAGCAGAAAGCCTCATCTTTTTCCCGAGGAACAGCTGGTAGTTTCGAACTGCTGGCCATGAGATTAGCAGCCCGATTCGTAACCACTACCCTACCAGCTACCATTTTGGTGGTGGTGGTGGTTATGTGCCATGGAGTCGGTTCCAATTCATAGCGACCCTGTACAGAGATCAGAAAAGCATGGTTGAGAGGTAAAATGACTTGTCCAGTATTAAAAAGTGACATATCTACGCCTCAAACCTAGATCTTTGGGGACCAACTCTCTGGCGATTTCCCTACCATACCACAACTAACGCCTATACCAGACTGCCCAAGAAAGAGGCGAATAAGGGGTCAAACACTCAATTTAATGAACTTCAACATATAGGAGACTGTTAACTGCAAGGTCAACAATTCAAATCTACCAGCCTCTCAGAAATTTAGGTTCGCTATGAGTCAGAACAGACTTAACAACATTATGTACCAAAGAAGCCCTGGTGGCCTAGTGGGTAACGCATTGGGCTAGAATTCAATAGCCACTATGTGACTCCCTAAAGATTTGCAACCTTAGAAACCCTATACAGGAATGATATGAGTTGGAATCCACTTGCTAGCACACAACCACCACCACCATTATGTACCAAGCATTCTGTTACTTGTGTACTGCTGACCCCTGCAGCACTTGTTCTTGCAGGACTCCCCCGAGCCTGAGGAAAACCCTACCCCGGAGCCTCGGAGTTCCACAGAGCCAGGCCCGCCTGGTTACTCAGTGTCTCCAGCCGTAGCAGGTCGCTCACCCGGGCTGCCCATCCGCTCCGTCCGCCGCTACCCGCGATCCCCAGCACGCTCCCCTGCCACTGGTCGGACGCACACATCACCACCCAGAAACCCCAGCTCTCCTGGTGGCTCGCGCAGCACCTCGCGTACACTGCGGACTGCCGGCGTGCAAATAATCCGCGAGCAAGACGAGACCAGTCCAGTGGAGATCAGCGCTTGAGCAGCCTCTGGTCCCAGGCAGGCCTGTAGTCGCCGCCTACGGCCAGGAGGAGAGCGAGAATGGGCCTGGTGGGCTGTGGGGCTGACGCCAGTGTATGAATATGAGTTTATGCTGGAGTTTAGCTATTGTGCGACTGACTGACTGGGTTGCTTTTGCTCCCGGTTTATTAGCTGTGTTTTCCGTGGGTATAGATTGTGCCCCCTTAGGCCCATTTAGAAGATTAAATGTCCGATCCAATACCCCCAGGGTCCCTATGAAACTAACATAGGTAACCTAACCCTGTGATTATGCTGTTTCTTCTAGGGAGCGCTTTATGCTTCCATCCCTTCCCATCCAAGAAATTCTGGCACAATTTTTGGCAAGTCCAAATTAGAGCAATTGCTTGTCCAAAACGCACAACATTCCTAAAATAAGTGGAAGCCAGAAGTCTGTTATGGGTGTAAAGGGGCTGCTCCAAGCATCCAAGCCCTGGGTAAACTGTGGTGAAGGCAGTGCCTAGCTCTGGCCACTTGCTTTCTGAGTACCACAGGTTGGTGAGGAAGGAACCCTTTGTCCCCGGACTTAGGTACTTTGCCGTCTCTCAGCCTTCCTCAGCACGTTGCAGAACAGTCTTTCTGTTACTGTTCATGGATGCCAGATTGGCTGCGTTTATTCCTGTAGAGATGGGGATTCCCACTCACTTCCCAGGCAACAGAAATCAAGTGAGGAACTATTTTTAACTCCTTAAACTCAAGCCATCTCCCTGCTTTTCTTACAAAAGAAGCCTTTAAATAATCACCTGAGAAAGGTGTTGAGGTTCCTCCAGCTGTTAAGAGAATATGGTTCTAATCTTCAGAAATTGGTGATAGGAGGAGGCTTATTACTCTCTAGGTTGTCAAGGGGACACAGTCTCCTGCCACCCACCTCCCCTGTTTGCAGATGCTAGGGGTTCCAGGGGCCAGGACAGGGTAGACCTCCTAATCACACTAACATCTGTTTACAGAGGGAATGAGTGTGTCTCTATGTAGTCAGGCCATGCCCATGCCACCCCCACTTGTACAGTTTGTAGGAGACACAATAATCTACTGTGTGAGGAGTGAGAACAACTAAAAAGCTGAACGAGAAGAAAGCCCTCTGTGTGTTCTGTCCTTTCCGGATACTTCTAGAGGTCCTTACACCCCAGTTCCTCCTTCACCAGCTAAGCCCCTTATCTACCATGTCACTAAGCAACTCCCTGCTACCTAGCATCTTCACACCAGGGCAAATTTTGTTCCAGGCTCCAAAGGCAACAATGTTTCTACTTTACCCCCTCCACTTGCATGCCCCCACCCAGATCTTATCTCTATGCTTGCTCAGGCTCATTTGAGCAGCTGTGTCTTTGCAACAACTTGATTGGTTTCAAAGACACGCCTGCTCTACTGATTTGCCAGAACCAATTCCCCAACATACCCAGGTACCTCATCCATGAAATAATGCTTGCAGGAGAAAGTTGCTCAGGCCAATGGGAGGTACAGAACTTGGAGAAGGGTATATGCCTGTTAGTCTTGAGATGCATAGATGAAAGTTATGGTGAGACAGACGTATGTCCTGGTGCTGATTCCTGCCGTGCCAGTTTCCCAAGCTCAAGCCAAACCTGCCTTAAATGAGGGGTGGGAGTGGGAGCAATAAGGAAGTGATTTTTTGTTTTGTTTTGTTTTTATCTTCATCTTTGTATTACTAGCATCTAGCAGAGTGCTTAGCACATTCTGGATGCTCAATAAACTGTTGATGAAGTTAAATGACAACTTTATTTCACATAAACCAATAGAACATAACAGACAACATTTAAAATACCAATCATTTTCCTTTTCTCTTTCTTCTCTACTGTCACTATTCATCTTTTTTCAAAATCCAAACTGTCTGTTCCAAAATAATCACTTACTCATTTATTCAGCTGTTCTTTCATTTATTCAACAAACATTTGTTAAAACACTATGGTACTGGGGTTACTTCATATGATCTGACCAACTCCTAGAAGTCAGTCTCATGGGCAAGGCAGATAAGGAAGCAGATTAATGTTGCTGTTGTAGTTGTTGTTAAGTGCTGTCGAGTTGGTCCTGACTCACAGCGACCTGTATAGGGTTTCAATGAATACATACTGAGTTTGAACTGTTGACCTTGCAGTTAGCAGTTCAACGTTTATACTACTGCACTACACCAGGACTAATACAATGTGTAAAATGCAATGACAGAGGTAGGTATAGGGCACAACCAGATTAGAGGTTGTCAACAAAGTATCCTGGAGAATATAATTGAGTTTAGTCTTGAAAGGATTTGCCAGTTAAGTGGGAAAATGGAAGAGAACGCACTTATTTGAGGCAGAGGGAACAGCATATATAAAGTTTGAAGTGCAATAAACATTGGGGAATTAGGGCACCAAGGCTTGGATAAGATTATTTTGGTAGAGCATACCAAAAAAATGAGAGAGTAGGGGAGACAAAGAAAGCTGAAGATAGATTCCTGAGGATTGTAAAGTTAAATGAAAAGGACCTTACCAAAGAGACTAAAAAAATGTAGCCAATGAAGTAGGGGAAAATCCAGGAGCTAATTCTATCATAGAAACAAAGGAATAAGAGGGTTTCAAGAAAGAGCATCCAGGACTGAAGAAGAGGATCTTGTATGAAAAGGAATTTAAAACATGCATTAAATTTAGCAACAAAGAGATCATTGACCAACTTGGCATAAATAATTCTAGGGTTGGTAGGGACAAAGCCAGATGTAATGGCTAAAAAGAAATGTGGAACTTCTGCTAGATATTGAGACTAGATATTTGAGAAGCCCTCCTGATTCAAAGCAACTAAGTCTTGTTTAAAACATAGTTGATTTTCGTTTTGGGTCTTCAGGACATGGAGAAACTTTCCAAGGAGTCAGAAACAAAACAAAAAAGTAGGTGAGCCCAGAATATTTGTTGTTGTTGTTAGGTGCCATGGACTCATAGTGACCCTATATAGGGTTACCAAGGAGTGACTGGTGGGTTTGAACCATCAACCTTGAGGTTAGAAGTCCAGTGCTTATCCTACAGTGTCACACCAGAATACTTGGTAGTAGTGGTTATGTGCTGTGGAGTCGGTTCCAACTCATAGCAACTTTGTATAGGATTTCTGAGGCTGTAAATGTGTGCAGGAGCAGAAAGCCTCATCTTTCTCTGTCAGAACAACTGGTAAATTTGAACTACTCACCTTGCACTTAGCAGCCCAATTTGTAACTCACTACACTACCAGAGATCCTTCACCAGAGTACTTGTTGTTGTTATTAAGTGCTGTCAAGTCGATTCCAACCCACAGCAACCCTGTATAGGGTTTCCAAGGAGCTTGAACCACCGACCTTGTGGTTCAAATTGACTTTTCAGTCCAGTGCATTAACCCATAACGTCACATCAGGACTCCACCAGAATACTTAGCACTCATATGTGGTTGACTAGGTATGAGTTGCTAATCTGGGATTCCTAAATTAAGTTGACATCCTAGAAGGGAGCTAATGCATTTCTATTCTGTATCATACCAGGCTCCTAACAATAAAAATGCAAACTCTATCAGGAGAAAAGCCACCAAATTTTCAGACATCAACTCCTGGTGTGGAACTGTGGGTTAATGCGCTGGATTGCAAAGTCAGTTTGAACTGCAAGGTTGGCGGTTTAAACTCACCAATTGCTCCATACAGGGTTGCTATGGGTCGGAACCGACTTGATGGCACTTAACAACAACAAGAATGAATTAACAAATCCAAAAAGAAAGATCTAGTAGGGAGGACCAACAAAATGAAAGGGCTAGTTAGCTGAAAAGATTTTAAAAGTAAATGTCTGGTAGGATTGAGTAGGGAAAAAGAGAAAAGAAACACATAAATGATATCATGAGTAAAAAAGGAGAAAGAAACTACTGATCCAGCATAGATGAAGAAATAGTATTAATAAATAAAGGAGAAAACTCATCACAACAGATGGCAAAAAGCATTTGTAAAGTTTAATACTCAACCATGCTTAAAAGTTCTTAATAAACTAGGAATAAAAGGACACCTTAAAAATTTCATAAATAATATCTACAAAAACCAACAGTAAATGTCATTCTTTTTAAAATCATGTTTTATTGTATTTTTGGTGAAAATGTACACAACAAATTAGATTCCCCATTCAACAATTTCTATTTTGTTCAGTGACATTGGTTACGTTTTTCACAATGTGTCAACATTCTCATTATTTCTGTTTTGGTTATTCCCTTTCCAGCAATCTAATTTCTCTGCACCTTCAAATATTTGCTTTAAAGGAATTGTTAACTATTTGGTCTATGTAGATGATTTTTTAAAAAAAGGAATGCAATGTATATGGGAGATGTTCTTTTGTGTGTGTGTGTGAGCCAATCTGTTATTTAGCTGAAAGGTGATCTCACAAGATGGTTTTAGTAAGATTTTAAAAGTTACTAAAGGAGCCTGGTGTGGCACTGTAGGATAAGCACAGTATGGCTAACCACAAGTTTGGAAGTTCAAACTCACTATTGCTCCTGGGAAACCCTATACAGGGTATCTATGAGACAGAATTGAGTCAACAGTACCACCACCAACAAAGGAGTCATGGTGATGCTAAGGGTTAGGTATTGGGCTTTTAACCACAAGACCAACAGTTCAAAGCCACCAGCCACTCTGCAGGAGAACGATGAGGCTGTCTGCTTTCTTAAAGAAACCCTAAATAATCAGAATCAACTTAACAGCAGTGGGTTTTTGTTGTTTTAAAAAAGAGACTTGGGGAGTCCTCTAGTTTCAACCTATCCAGTAAGTCTGAACTGTTTACAAATTTGAATACTGTTCCAAATGTTTCTCCTATTCTGTCAGGTTCTATATATTGTGGCCTGGATCACAATTATTGGTAGTGGCAGCCAGGCACCGTATAGTCCTTCTGGTCTCAGGGTAGAAGAGGCCTTGGTTCTTATAGACAGTCCTGTAAACTAGCTTCTCCTCAGGCTTAGGTTTCCTTCTTCCTCTTTTGCTCCAGATAAATTGTTGTTGTTGCTGTTAAGTGCCACCCAGTTGTTTCGGGTTCATAGTGACCTTGTATAGGGTTTCCAAGGAGTGGTTGGTGAATTTGACCTGCCAACATTTTCGTTCAAACTAACCTTGCCTTGCAGTCTAGTGCTTATCCTGCAGTGTCATACCAGGATAGGTAGAGACCAATATTTATATCTTAGATAGCTGCTCAAAAGTTTTTAACATCTCAGATACTATTCACCAACCTAGAACATAGAACATAAACTTTATGTTTTAGTATTCTAATTGACCCAGTTATCCCAAACCCCTAATCCTAATTCTTCAAATCCAGAAAACCAATCCTATGTTTGCTTATACCTAAGAAGTATCCAACTGCTAACTGCAAGTTTGGTGGTTCAACCCATTAGTTGCTCCTCGGAAAGACTATGTTGGTATTGTTAAGTGCTGTCAAGTCAGTTCTGACTCATAGAGACCCTGTATAGGGTTTCCAAGGGGTAACTGGTGGATTTGAACTGATGATCTTGTGGTTTGCAGTCCAATGCTAATCCTACAATGCCATACCAGAAAATGCTATACAGAAAATGCTATGAGTCAGAACTGATTCCAGGACACTTAACAACAACAGCGATAATGTGCATTATTATATATGTTGTTTTTGTTAAGTGCCACTGAGTCGATTCTGAACCCTGTATAGGGTTTCCAAGGAGCAGCTGGTGAGCTTGAACCACTGACCTTGTAGTTCAAACAACTTTGCAGTCTGAGGCATTGGCCTACAGCGCTACACCAGGACTCCTATTTATTATATGTAGTTGTTGTGAACTGCCGTCAAGTCGGTTCCGCCCCACAGCAAGCCTGTATAGGGTT